CAGGCTGAGCCACCGAACCCAGCTATCTTTTCTTTATGTTAGAACCATTCTATACTTTAATTGTGCAAGATGTATTTTTCTCATTTGTCTTCATAGATTAGTACTTAACACAGCACCTACTGCAAGCATTAAATACTGTAAATTTGTGAGTGAATAATAATTAAAAAAGAAGCTCCTTCTATGATATAGAGAGTTGTAAAAAAAAAAAAACCTTTATTGTTTTATTATGGTTAATGATTATAGACCCAGAGAAAAAAATCTCATTGATGGCTAAATATGCTTAAGGAAGCATTTCAGTTGGTATGATTTTTGTTTGTTTGTTTTTTACCAAATTCATTGCTTTATAATTCTTCTGGGCATCAAAACCAGTAGTGGGAAAGAATTATATAATTAATTCTAATTTTACATTTGTTTATAAATTTTTATATGTCAGTAGGTAGGAAAATATACAGCACTCATTGAAAACAATCAGTAACAGAGTGACCATACGCATAAACATTTTGCAGTAAATACAAAAATTAAAAGAATATTTGGAATTCCTAATTTTGAAAAATTGAACAGCTTAAAAAAGCTAATTTTCCAATACAACATTAAAAATGTAAAGACTTGTGTGATACAGCTTGTAACCACAAATGTAAGCAGCACGAATGGAAGGGCTGCAAATGATCATTCTCTAGGTGTGTATCTGGTCACGAGGGGATGTATCTGGAAAATCCCTTTTGCCTCTGATGGGTCCATTTTTCTTCTTTTTCTTCTTCCTCTTCCCCCTCTTCCTCTTCCTCTTCCTCTTCCTCTTCTTCTTCTTCTTCTTCTTTCTTCTTCTTCTTCTTCTTCTTCTTCTTCTTCTTCTTCTTCGTCAGAGTTTAACTCTGACACCCAGGTTGAAGTTCAGTGGCATGCTCTCATGGCCAATGCAGCCTTCACCCACTGGACTCAGGTAATCCTTCTACCCCAACCTTCCAAGTAACTGGAAGGACAGGTGCATGCCACCATGCCCTTTAAATTTTTTGATTTATTGTAGAGACAAGTTCTTTCCCATTTGCCCAGGCTGGTCTTTAATACCTGGACTCAAGCAATCATCTCACTTCTGCCTGCCAAAGTTCTGGGATTAGGGGCGTGAGCAACCATGCCCGGCTCATTTCAAAACTTGGTATGCATTTCTCTGCCTAATCAGGTTTACTCATCCAACTCCCTTGAATTTTCCTCTATTGTGGCCTTTTTTGCGTTCAGGTTTTATGAGTGTAATTCCTGAATATCTTCTTCTCCCCTCAACCACAGCTTATACTAAATGGTTTCCGCAAATACCCATTAAAATGATCCACCCATGCTTGAAATTTTACAATTAACTTAAAAGGTAATGATCAAAACTGTTCTAAGTCATTTACAGTACATGCAAATGAGATACTCACTAGCAGATGTTGATGTTCAAAAGATAAAGGCAAGAACAAGATGCAGGAGAATGCTGTTTTAGGAGTTAAAGGGTAGGAGGTGGGGATAAAGGGATCAAAGGCAAATGTGATCTACTAAATCCTTTTATCACAAAGAACGCCAGTTCTACGCGAAGCATTGCTGGTTGTTTGGTTATTCTTTTGACCATTACACCATATTATTAAATTATGGGATATAATTACTTTTTATTTGTATTTGTTTGCTTTGTTTTTTGAATCAGGGTCTTGTATCCCAGACTGGAGAGCAGTGGGATGGTCATAATTCACAGCAGCCTCAACTTTCTGGACTCAGAAGATCCTTCTGAAACTTACTTCAGGCGTCACCATGTCTAACTTTTTTTTTTTTTTAGTGATGAGGCCACAATATGTTGCCTAGGCTAACTCTTCACCTCAAGCACTTCTCTCCCTTCTGCTGCCCATCCCTTCTGCCGCCCAAAGTGCTAGGATTACATGCGTAAGCCACCAGGTCTGGCCTTAATTACTTTATTAATTAAGTTATTTCAACAAACCTACTGAGTCAATACTTAGATCAAGCAGGTAGTGGAGAAAACAAATTGAATATCATGCTTTTGCTTTTCCTAACAAATCAGGCAAGATAACAGTTTAAGGATCAGAAGGGCCACAGGTCAGACCTCTGCCAACCATTTTCCATTCATTTCCAAAAGATTTACCCTTTTAGGTATATTTACTTTGACACAATCCTTTTATAAACATAAATAATTGTTTGAATAGTGAAATCAAAATAACCAATATTACCATGAGCTTCTGTCACAAGAAAAATTTAATGACCTGCTGAACAAAATTGGACTGGAAGGGAAAAGCTTATTTCTTTTATAATCCCAATTAACTTCTAACCTAGGTGACTGAATGGGCTTGGGGAATCTGAGAAAAGTGACAACAATGAAATAGGCCACTTTTTCTCACTGCCAACCTAAAATTAGCATCCGCTCTAGAACTCTAGGATTCTCCAAGGGAGTTGGGTGGGAGGGTTATTGCGTTTCAGGAAATGCCATGTAAATCAACAAGACAGCTCATCTCCACCATGGATAACCACATCACTTTGAGCCTTGTCAAATATCTACATGACTAAAACAGAAGCCATTTATCAATAATTGTTTTTCTAGTGATAAACAAAACCAAATGATATTACTGACATCATCACAGGTATCATTTAAAAATATTATGTATTTTTTATTTCTAAAATACAGAACAGTCTGTAATCATTCTTATTTTTTTGCTAATAACCATAAAAATTTAAAAGTTATTTTATTAACCTGGGGCCCAAGATAGCATACTAGATTTAAAACTGAATGGGTTACATCTACTTGATATAACAGTCATGGTCAGTGGAATTTCTCAGCATAGTGTTGAAACTAGGCCAAGAAAATCTAAATTAGTAGCCATCATTAAGCACTAGTGTGGAGTCTTTCTTAATTTTTTCTTCTTTTCTCTGTCTTACCTTGCTCTCTTTCCATTTCTTATTTCTCTTTGTCTTTCTTTCTTCATTCTTTCTTTTAATGTTTTGATTTGATCCAGCCACATGTCTACTCCTTGTGTCCAAATAATTAATAAGATACATGTAGCAAGAACAATTAAGTACCATTAGAAAACATGACCATGGAATATTGATTTGTTTGTAGTAAACCTTTATTGTCACATAGAAATAAATGTAGATACTTTGGCCACATCCAAATACAGATGACATAACCCAAAGATTGATTTTGATAATTCTGTTAACTGCTGACAAGACGTGAGATATTATCTATTAAGAATGAAAATAACATTTCATTCTTTATTGTGTTTACCTTATTATCTACATCATTCACTGGTCCTTATGATTTCTCTATGTAAAACATGCTGATGGGTGACAATTGTGTTAATATTGGGCAAAGGAAAGCACATTGAATTGAGAATGAAGGGAGTTTGTTTTTTCTACCAATTGTGATAGCATAGACCATGTAATGTGTAATTCACTTTGTATTTTCTGTTTCCCTCATCTCTGAGTTGGAGAGTAAAAAGAGATCTTTATCTTAAGTAACTTCTAGTTCAAAAGTTCTGATTTTGTGAAAGATGTGTTAATATACTATGAATATTAATACTTCCTTGCTGAATCTTCCAAAAATAGATCTGAAAATCTCATATTGACTTTGTTGGATATATATAGGGGATTGGAATATAGTATCAAATATCTCAGAAGGTATTTTCCTGAACTCAGTCTTTTCTTAGGTCTACTTTTTCTCATATGTAGGCTAATCCTAAAGGGAAAGAGACCTTATATTTAATACAGAACTATAAATTGCAATTGTGAGAGATATATATATATTTGTAAACTTAACTCAGGATAGGGCTAGTGGAGCATTCCTTTGGAAAGATATTCTAGGCATATTTACATAGTATGCATTTTGGACTTAACATCATTTATTGGAATCCTGAATATATAGTTGGCATTCTCTGAAAATATAATAGTGTTTATGTAATTTGTACAAGACTGACAACAGATATGCCAATTGTAAAGAATCTGATTTTTCTCCCCTTCAACTTGCTTCTTCCTGTTGGTAAGTTTCTCTAAATTTTGTTTTTCTTTTTTCATTGTTGTCTAAATTGCACTACTTACACATAGCATCATATACTATATCTGACAATATTCTCATGTATTAGTGCAGTTTATAAATGACTTTTATTGAGTCATTCTACTTTTGAAATCTATAGGGAATCACATTCCTGTACTTTATATACATCTCTGCTGCAGAATCTACAAATGTGGAATCACTCTGTCTCTAAAGTTGTGCTTTAATGGACATGGGGCATTAGATACAACTAGAACAATTTTTAAATTTATATTTTCATATTTATTAACAAGCAAATGCAAGTGAAGAAATATTAAACATGTAATTATTTTTTATTTTCTTCCACTGAGTTTGAATCTCAGCAGATTTCAGAATAGTAAAAACTCATAAGAAATACACCAGATGAAATCCTTTCTTAACCAAATAATTAGCCAAAAGTTAAATTGCAGCTTTTTTACTCTTCTTATTTTCCATGAAATGTTATGTTAAATAATTTTCTTTATACGCCTATAGAGTAGATGAGTGATATGAGAATTTAATTCATAAAATATTCAGTCACATGAGCAATCATAGATTAAATTTTGGTGGTGGATACTGTGCTGGGTGCTGAGACTCGGGAGGTGAGCAAGATAAATCTTAACAAAGCATAGTAGATATTTACATTCTGAAAAAAAGAAATACAGGTAAGACACATGCATATGCACAAGTGCTAGTGTTTACTACACTTGGCAAAGGGAAAAATAGGATATCCTTTTCTGGCATTAATTTATTTACATCTCAATCATTTAAACATGCTTCTCATATTTCCTGAAACATAAAGTCAAGCTTTGAGATTTACATTCTGTTTGTCAAACATAGTTGTAAGAAGAATTGTCTTTGACTACGGTTGATATTCTACCTGATTCTGTAAGCAGTAAAAGTCAAACACTGCTGGGGGGGTAACTTATATGATAAGGAAAGCAGCTCTGGCCTCTGATGCTAACACAAAGAGGGTTTTAGGTAAAGACAGCTGTTCTTCATCATCTATATGGAGAAACAGTAGTATTGCTTTTATGAATATGATTACTTCCTGCAGCAGACAGAAAGGAGAAAACACACACACAAACAAAAACCCATGTATATTTTGAGATGTCTAGAATACAAAAGAGCTGGAGAATATGCCTTCCTGATTTTCTTTGGCATTCAAGATACTGATGGCGTGGGAAGCGTGTGTTATCAAAGCTGCACATGTGTGAAAACACAGAATGGAAAGAGGCTTCTTTCGGTAAAAGATTTTGTTTCATGGTACTTCTGTGAAAGCAGCTTCAGGAGTCTAGCTTCAGAACATTTGATTGGTAATATTTTTTCTTTCACAAGATAAGCCCCACAAAGGCAATGTCTGCTTCTCTCTTTACAGGTGCAGGCAACTACAGCTTTGCTAAAACCGGCAGTGGCAGGTCAGGGAACGTGTTCAGAGACTAGGAATCCTCCTGATCTGAATTGTAATGTTCTCCCGCAGTGAGCCAGACAACATATCTCACTTCTCTCCACTTTGTTTTGCTAAATAATTATAACATTTAAAGGAAAAATAGACTTTACACCTTTTTTGGTTCAGAAATTAATGTTCAAATTCTATTTATTTAGAACGTGCTGGTAATACTTTTCTCTTTTTGAGAAAACCTGTTTACTAGATGAAATATAAAAACATTACATACATTGAGGCATATTGTGCTTACATTTTCCAAATTAAAAATATGACTAACACCTAAAATATATTAATTTTTCTATCAGATATCTATTTTTAATCAGATATGCTTTTCAAGTTTAAATACTTAATTATTGTTTAAAACTGAATTCTCTAATATGTATCTATTTGTATATGCAAGGATAAACATGCCCTTATTTATAATAGTGGAAGCATGACATCAGCCAAAGGATTATTAATAAGGGATTGACATTACAAAACTAGTGTGATAATTTCTTATTAAAAGCACATCAACAACATTTAGAAACTAAAAGGTTATCACTATATTTTTAATTTTAGAATGCAGGTTACAGTTTTTCATGAATACTATGATCTCAATTTACTTAAATCTATTAGAAATGACAATAACAATTTAAAACTTGTCAGTCACGGTGGATCTCACCTCTAATCCCAGCACTTTGTGAGGCTAAGGCAGGAGGACTGCTTGAGCCTAGTTCGAGATCAGCCTAGGCAACATATTGAGATTCCTTTTATTCCTACCAAAAAAGAAAAAAGAAAATCCAGAAATTAGCTGGGAGTTGTGGCACATGCCTGTACTCCCAGTTACTCGGGAGACTGAAGTGGAAGGATCACATGAGGTCATAAGGTTAGGGTTATGGTGAGCCATGATTATTCCACTGCATTCCAGCCTGGGCGACAGAGTGAGACCCCCACCTCAAAAACTAAATAAATAAATAAACAAAACAAAAACTCTAAAAATTACACAAATAACTTCTAGATGTGAAGGTTCTGAGTGAATTTAACCTCCTGTGAAGATATATTACTTCTGTAATTAGAGAAAATGTTGTAAATAGTTCCTAAACTGAGGAAAAATTAGAGACAGGTGCTGTCTATCTCCCAGTGTTGTTAGTGACTGTATTATAGTTATGCGTTAACAGGTGAGGAGTTTGCAATTAACTGTAATTATCTTTTTAAAGCCTGAACATTAGAAGACTCTAAGTTTCATATAAAGAAAATAACCTTTATATAATCTGGGTTTATATTGAACAAAATTATAAGAAAAAAGAAAGGAACACCTATGTCCTATTGTCCTTTCTTAGAGAGGTACACAGTGTGTAGAACTTTACATCTGGTTGTAGCTTATTGCAATCAAATCTTTTGCTGGCAAAACATTGCCCAAGACCTGGCTAAGGTAGCAGTTTTCTCACTCACCTTAATCTGTTTCTTGACCTTACACTCTGAGACTTTTTGTTTGGTTCAAGTACAGAGTAAATGGGCTCATCAGTTAGTTCCAGTGGTGGGGGGGGGGGGGACGCTGAAAGAAAGCCTGGAGCTAAGAAGGAAAAAAGACAGGATTTGGGACAATCCTTGCTTATACCATATACTCCTGGCACTGCTCGAAAGTATTTCTATTTCTAGTTATTGTACCCCATAGCATAACAAATTACCTTGGCTCTAAGTTCATATCAAAGTGCAGTCTCACACAACATGGTGGTTATTGCTGTACAACTCAGGAATTTATTTCTAGGTGCCAGGGGAGGCGGCCCAAGAAAGTACATTGTGAGAAATTGTTATATGAGGAGCTTTTGAAGAAGGGGGTGGGAGGTGGTATGTTGAATTGAAATAAGAAACCATTAAGGAGCAACATGATAGCTGATTGCCAATTTTTATTTTTTTAATTTGAAGCCTCACTCTATCGCCCAGGTTGTAGTGTAGTGGGACGTTCATGACCAGTGTAGCCTGAAACTGCTGGGTGCAGGCGATCCTTCCACTTTAGCTTCCCAGGTAACTGGAATTACAGGCATGCACCACCACGCCCAGCTCATTTTTTTAAAAAAATTATTGTAGAGACGAGGTCTCGCCGGATGCCCAGACTGGTCTCAAACCCGTATACTCAGGCAAACATCTTGCCTCAGATTCCCAAAGTGCATTTTTAAAAGTCATCATGTAAGCTATGGATTTACAGTATCTCCAGAGGACAGAGAGGGGATACCTGGGTGAAAAATAACACAAATAGTCAGATTTTAACTGTGGGAGGAAGAACTTTCTAACAACCTGAAGTGTCTCAAGTCATCATTAATGTTCATGCAGAGACAGAATTACTTTCTCCTTCATCTACTTTCTTCTTCATCTACTTTCTTATTAAATTTATCATAACCTTTATATTTTGGTTATATATCTTAATTTTTGTTCATCTCTATCAAGTAAATCATATACATCTTGTTTAAATGTATTGTCAATCATACCAAGTAGCATCTGAAAACAACATTTTTTAAGATAGAAAGTGGGTAAATGAAGAAATTTTATAAAATTATCATCAGGGAGATATTTTAAAGTGGACAGAAAAAGATAAGATGGAAATGTAAATGGAGTGTCTTCTCAGGTATTGATAAGATAAATCATAAACCAAGAGAATCTGAGAATAAGAATTTCAGAAAAAGAGAACAGAAGAGCAAATTTATGATTTTATAAATCTGAGCATATGAGCTGCAAGTTAAAGACATCATTCAGTGAATATACGTGATAACAAATGAAAAAGAACCCTCACATTAGCTATTAGAATGCCAACTATAAATAAGCTTTTCCAAAATTTCAGAAGGACAAAATTATGAAAAAAGAACAAAAAAGGTGAACAAGCACCTAAAACTACTTTAAATGGAGAATAAAAGTAACATTAAATTTCTTCAGAGCCACATAGAAGCACAGTTGCTAGAAGTCAATGGAGCAATGAGTTTTATGTTACAAAAAGATTATTAACCAATAAATTTATTTTCAGCTAAATGATCGGTATACTTCAAGAACAAATTCAAGGAAGTGCAATACAATATAGCATCCAAACACACATTTGGAAGTTATATTAGGGTCTCTTCTTTTAAAACAAGGAATAAAACCAAGAAGAGAACAGAGGTAACTACCTATCTAAGTAGTAATTATAAGAAGGAGAATGGAAGATTGTGGAAAAACTACTTGAGAAAATAGGATTTGATTGGACTGTTTTCTCAAGTAGATTTTCCACAATCTTCCATTCTCTTTCTTATAATTACTACTTTTATAGGTAGGTATCTCTGTTCTCTTCTTGGTTTTGTTCCTTGTTTTAAAGGTGGAGACCCTAGTACATTTATGCAGCCATAAAGGATAAACATGGACTTCGCAACAACTTGGGTGGATCTGGAGTCGATCATACTCAGTGATCTATCACAGAAACAAAGAACAGAGTACCATATGTTCTCACTCATAAGCAGACCTTGAACAATTATAATACTGTAAGAAAGAGATTGGCAGTAGTGGGAAACTGTCAGGGGAGGGGTGTGGGATTGGCAGTTGAGGAAAACTGCTAGAGGAGGGAGGGGCTTACCTCATCAACTAGGGTACATGCATAATCAACGTTTGTAAACCTAACCCTGAATTGTACCCCACATCTTTATAATAAAAAAAGAAATAGGACTTGATAATATACTGCTATTGTTGAGTCTTTACAAAGCACAAATAGGGTGAAAAAAAGGAGCATGATTAAGGCTATATCAAAAACCAAAAACACATAAAAAGTGAATGAATTGACTAGGCAATTACTTTAAGTCATATAAAGGTATTATTTAGTATATACATATATATGTTTATGTACTAAATTATATATATATATATATATATATATCAATGTCTAAGTCATATTAAAGTACAACTCAAATTCAGGATAATAAAATGTAAAATTATATTATCTAGGTTTGTGTTCAGGTTTGCTGTCTGCAAATTGTGTTTGTCCATATATGGTGAACTTGTATGCATCTTTTATTCAAATAGTGAACTATTTTGAAGCTAAAGGTGATGCTACCAGCTGCCCAATTCAACTTGCATACAATCATTTTTATGTAAATTAAGAGACATGTTGCATAATGTTTGAGAACAGTGGCTCAGAAATTAGACCAATTAAATCATAAACTAGTTCTATACCTCTATAAACTAGTTATAAAGTTGTATAACATTGGACAAATTACATAAAGCCTTATTGCCTTAGTTTCCTTGTCTGTAAAATGTAGATGATAGTATATTTTTCATGGTGTTGTGAGGATTAAGTTTGATGAAACTAAGAACAGAGCCTGTTCTTAGAACAGAGCCTGTTATAAGAAGTTATAAGAAGTTAAAAGGGTAGCTGCAAAAATTTAATGAATATATTTTTAAAAGAAAACCATAGAATGATGACTAATACAGCGTTTTTATTTATTTATTTATTTGAGTTGGTGCCTCACTCTGTCGCCCAAACTGGAGTGCAGTGGCCACTCCCGGCCACCGCAGCCTCGACCTGCTGGGCTCCGGCGATCCTTCCGCCTCAGCCTTCCAAGTAGCCGGAATTACAGGCATGTGCTACCATGCCCGACTGATTTTTTGATTTATTGTAGAGATGAGGTCTCGCTGCCCAGGCGGGTCTCGAACCCGCGGGCTCAGGCAATCCACTCACCTCAGCCTCCCAAAGGCACGGGATTACAGGCTGAGCCACCGAGCCCGGCTAGCATTTTTAAAAAGTTAATAAATAACTGTGGTCGTTGTACTATAAATGAAACACACAGACTCCTGACAAATTGTGA